CATAAAACAATGACCCCGTTCAATTGTTTTTTCATATAAAAAGGCTTTCAGTCCTAGCTTACGCTCATTCAGAAATCTGATTTAGTCAATTATAAGCGATTCAAGATATTTTTCGCGGAAAGTTGTGATTGAAAAAATGCCAAGAGGATTATCAGAGGTTTTACGAGCTGGAATAGTAACTTTGAGGGAAGAAGGATACACCACGAGAGTAATAGCACGCAGACTTGCTATATCCCAATCCTGTGTCGTGGCTACGTTGCAGAGGTATCACGGAATGGGGAATTTAGCTGACCGACCCCGCAGCGGTCGCCCAACTGTTTTGACAGCTGCCCAAAAGCGCTATATTAGATTGCTGGCAGCCCGTGATCCAACAATCAACGCCACTAAAATAAAAGCAGAAGTCAGGGCCGCCTCTGGGCTTGAAGTTAGCATGCAGACCGTTTGCAATAGCTTGCACCAGGCTGGATTACGAGCACGGAGGTCTTGGTGAGCTCCGCTCAATTCCCGGCAACGTCAACAACGAAGATTGCAGTGGGCTAGACTTCGGCAAAATGAAGAAGGTGAGGACGAAAACATTTGGCAAAACTGTCTCTTCGTTGACGAATCCCGAATCAGGAATCATCCAGATAACCGACGTGTCCGTGTCTGGAGAAGACCAGGCGACCGTGAAAGACAAAGAACTGCCACTGGAACAGTTCAGCAAGGCGGAAAATCGGTGTCCTTTTGGGGTGGCATTATGATTGAAGCTAGAACGCCTTTGATCCCGTATCGGGGCTTCATGACAGCAGACATGTACAAAGCAGTTGCTATTGATGATATCGTCAGACCATTCCGAGTAAACCATGGGCACCAATTTGTACTGGTCGATGATAATGCGCCCGCACATCGAGCTCAACGAGTCAATGCTGCTCTTCAAGAATACGATATCACACGATTAGACTGGCCTGCCGCCGGCTCGCCCGACTTAAACCCAATAGAGCACGCGTGGGATGCTCTTAAACGAGCAGTATGGAACCGTGAGCCACGTCCCCAGACAGTTCCAGAGCTCAGGGAAGGCGCTATTGAAGAATGGGATAGATTACCCCAGGAAATGCTGGATAACTTGATCCTCAGCATGCCCAGGAGGATCTTCGCATGTATTCGAGCCAGGGGAGGAGTTATTTTATATTGAATTCACACCTTTTAATAATAAATTGTTGTTTAAGTTTAATTAAACAGTCTTTTTCTTTCTATGAAATTTCTATCACTATTACATTATGATTAATGGCTCAATTTTTTAAAATAAATAATAAAAAATTGTTTTATATTTTAATTTCAAACAGGGTATTCCTATTTAAAGAAAGCATACAACATAGATTTTTTCTTGATAAAGTTAAATTTAAAGAATTGTAGGAGCTTATGCTATTGATCGCAAACTTTTTTTGATGTGTGTATATTGTGTTATCATAGTTCTCATTTAAAAGTGTTTTTTGTACAGTTTTATAGTATTTAATTTATATATAAATGAGTTGTAAATATAAATTACAAAAGCACACAAAATAATTAAATAGCTAACTGTCCTTTTTCTACACATTGCAAAAGATGGAAAGAGACCCATTACGTCAGTTTCAAGAAGCTTATATAAACTTGGTCATTTCAATTGTTCGAACCACAAGCGATTGAAATATTTAGAAAAATTCAGCAGTGACTGCGATAGGCTGATGATGATGAGAAACACTTTTAAACTTCAAACTGCCATATCTCGAAAATGACTGGATATACATTGGATCCTTTTTGTTTAACTACGTCTAATTGTTACAATTCTTAAGGCGAGTCACCCGTAATCAAATGGCCCAGGTTGCTTTCTGAACTTTCTCAGCTTGCCATCTTCCACTGCGGCCTTTTTAAAGACGGGGAAATACTACATGCGATTTACGCATTTAACGCGTGAGATGCATAGGATTGCCTATTCATTTATTGCGATAGATATACCATTAGTTCTATTAGTAGCAAACAATTGCTTTACAAAAATATAACTCTTTAGCATAAATATTTAAAAGTCAAGCCACACTTACGATTTCAAGGATAAAAATGAATGAAAATTGTATTAACTTTAAGTGTGTAATAAATAAATAAAAGTAACAAATTTGAAATTATAATCAACAAGCACAATTGTATTTTTTATAATAGTATGATACATTAGTATTACATGTTTGCGCGTTTAAAATCGCGAATGCAACTATAATTTAAGCAAAAATATCAATAAATTCAAAACAAGCCATGGTAGCCAATGGGTTTACCTACCACTTCACAATCTCTGAGTTTATCGGAATTTGTATACGAAATTTGTACGCTACGAAGACTGTATGAGCCATACCATGAGACATACCAGTTAATGCTACTGGTCTTAAAGAGAGCAATAAGAAGCTAGTTCAGCAAGCGTTCCATCCCTGCTTGTTCACCACCAGGCCAAGAAGTGTCGCACTGAGTAACAAGGCTGATACTAACATAAAAGTTCCATTAGTCGCAAGTAACAGCCACACCCATATCTCCGACATGCTGACCTATTCTGACCACGAAGATACTAATTACCCAACCTGGCAGAGAGTACCTACGCTTAGAAATGCAAAAAGAAAAAAGGTATCTTCACCATCCCCCGAAAGATTGATTGTCACTAACAGATTCAGTGGACTATCTATTGAAGAAATAGATGATGACGGCAAACAAAATAGCGAAACTCCAAAATAACCTTTAAAACCACCTCCTGTAATCTTGTGTGGCATCAAAGACGTCAACAAGCTAACAGAACTCCTTGAGCCTATCGTGAATAATTCAGATTTCAGCTACAAAATTGTCAACCAAAATCAACTGCATATCAGCTGCACCACCGTAGAAGTGTACAAAAACATAATAGATGCAGTGAGAGGAAAAGGCCTAATCGGACATACTTTCAATAGAAAAGACAAACGGCTCTATAGAATCGTGATCAGAAACCTTCATCCCACAAAACCAATTAGTGCAATAAAAGAAACACTGGAAAGTACGGGTAATGCCATTATTGGAGAAATAATAAATGCCAGATACGGACCAGAAAAGAAACCAAACCACCACATTATTTGTCAATCTAGCAAGTGGCCCCAAAAACAAAGCTGTCAAGTACCTCAAATACATACACCACCAGTTAGTTATTATAAAAGATCCACGCAAACGAAATGTAGTAGTCCAATGCCAAAGATGCCAACAATACGGCCACACTAAAAACTACTGTATGAGACCCTATTGATGCGTGAAATGTGCACAAGCTCACAAAACCACGGAATGTCCTAAGATAGACCGTAACACCCCAGCGAAATGTGCCCTATGCCTAGGCGCCCATCCAGCAAATTACAAGGGTTGCGAGGTTTATAGAGAAGTATTAGCCAGAAAATCTAACAAACAACAACACCTTAAACGCAGAGACCACCAAAAAGTTGTGTACTTATTAGCCTCATAACAACCCTAGTCTCCAATTTAGTAAAATGACTTCCCTCAAGAAAACCTAGACGGGCTGTCTCCAAACAAAGAAAAGGTTGAAGTTCTGCTGCACACCCACAACATCGATATACTGCTGGTATCTGAAACTCACTTTAGGATCCGGATACAAAACTATGATATTTATGCCACCAATCACCCAGATGGAACTGCACACGTAGGAGCAGCCGTAATCGTGAGGTCAAGCATCAA